CTGAAGGTTCTTTGGTGTGAGTTTTGTCTTCTTGAAGTATCATTGTCGTTGTAGGATTTATAATACATGTTTCAGTGATCACAAAACAGACTCAGTTATGATCGCTGGAACTGAAAGAATAGAAACATTATTGGAACCCAGATACTCTTAATTTACAGAAATATTATTTACGTAAAATAAGAATTAAGAACAACAAAGTATTTCTGTTGATTAAATATAATATTCAAAGATGAAAGTAAATCAGTGAATAATACTTTGAATAACTAAATGCTTTTATTGATAAAGATGAACAATTGAAGAACAAAAGTAATCTCACAAGAATATGCGTATAGTATAAGTCGGCTCCTTCAGGTACTTTGAACCTGAGGCAGAAGCCTCCTTATATATGCCTAGGTCTAACAAACTATGCTATAAAAAAGGCATGGAACTCTGAGCTGACTGGTCTGTATCCTTATCTTTGACTTCCCTTGAATAGCGGAGCAGACTTGGTCAAGCCGCCTTAAATCTGTTAGACGCTTGAGAGAATGTCTTGGCTAACGCATGCTTTCTGTGAAGAAGGTAGCCAGAAGCTCTACATGTACTATGTAGAGGCTCTATATATGCAGAAGCTCTGCATGTACTATGCAGAGGCTATGGGTCTTGGAGTTGTTGCTTTAAGTTAAGCGCTTAAGCTTTTTGTAACACATGGCTTGAGCGTTCACAGAGATAGAGCGCGGGCTCTGTATGAAAGGAACCTTCACTCTGAGTAAGAGCTCTTGTCCTTGATCTTCTACATGAGAGCTCTTAGCCAGACAGCTTCTATAGACTAAGTTCTATTGACTAGAGCAAGACACTTCTTACTTACAGTCTCACAATTTGTGGTCTAACAATCTCCCCCTAAGTATAAATAAGAAGGACTCTTACTTGATTTACAAAATAGAGATCTAATCGAAGACAGAGGTTAAAAGGAACCTCTGGTTTACATTAACTATCTAATGAAGTATAGTATGATTGAAATGGAAATTACATTGAATCAAAAATAAAGGAGTACTTACAAAAGATAAGAGGTCTAAACATTTTGAAGTCTAATGAACTTTCTAAGAAGTTCACGAAACTCAAGCATATTTTGAATCGACCTCAGGATAATTTTGGCTCGCTCCTTTGCTCCAGGGGAGCTGTCTCTGCTCAGACCAGATTGTCTCTTATATAGCGCAGAGTAGAGTTGGAGTACATGTAATTATGGTTGTCTCGAAAGATGATCTTCTGTTTATGCTCGTTTCGAAACACGACTCCCACTTTTGGTTCCACCAAAACCGTACAGGAGGGGATGATGTCGATGCCCTGCAAGTCTTCATTTGGAGCAGCGACAGTCAGTTGATCCGCTCTTAGATCGAGAGCTAGTTGGAAGTCGAACTTGCTTCTAAAGTCGAGCAGGTCTGTCATTGTTTAGCGAATGGCAGAGTTAGCAACAGCGTATTTGACACCCTTATCCTTCTTATGATCTGTGAAGTAGAACAGATGGAGAAGATCTCATGGATTCAGATTAATAAGGTAACAATCTATGAACCTACAGATCCGTCTATGAGACCTCTCCACTGTGTACTCATGGAATACAATCTGATTATACGCGAAGGTGCGCCTCCTTATGTCAAGGATCTGCTTTATTCCATCAGCGAAGTGGACTGCAGTGATTGGCTGAGTGTAGCGAGCTATGAATCTCTGCCTAATGTACTCTTGAACTATAAGATAAAGACTGATCTTCTGGACCTGTGTCTCTTCTCTTAGGTTGTAAAGGAACTGGTAGATCCCCTCACTGTCTGCCTTGTCCATGATGGGTTTGTCGAGGGGTATTGGTGTGAACATGGCATCCATACTTGCTTTGATCCTTTGAACACAAAAACTATATAAAATCACAGAAAAATCCAAATGAGGTGAGGCCAATTTCCTTAGTTAGATATTTGAGTCTAGTTTATTTCTTATTTTATGATAATGGCATGAATTCGAGTTTAAAATGGGCAAAACATTTTTGCATGCAGCAGCTGTACATAGAAAATTAGGTAAAGTGTTCAAATAGGATATGTGTTTAACATGGGTTTCTTATAATGGTTGCTTATGAGATTTTGTACATTTACTTCAGGGGGTAATTAGGACATATTTTGATATTTTGGAAGTAATCTAAACGTGGTAGATTGGACTTGCTTTGTGAGCTCATTTTGGAGCTTTTCGGTATTATACGGTTGCCTGGTGAGTTATATAGTTAATTGTTACATATTGATTTGAACATATATATATTTTCATATGAATGTTTTTGGTCTGGAATTGAGTCACACGATCTTGATTTGTCTTTGATTTCGTCTCTTGAGTTGATTCCATATTATGATCTCGTTACATCGGTTTGTTTTCCGGATCCGGACTCGTTGTTTTGTTCCTTGAATTGTACACCATAGTACGGGTACTACATCGTGTGGAACACCGGAAGTTTATGGCGAAGTCAAGATCCCAGGTTGGACGGGTGAGACTTTATGCGATTGTGAATACTCATTGCTCAGAAAGGAGGAACAACAATGAGTAGGGAACCTTGGCACATACCCGGTAAAGGAAGGCGGGTAGTGCGAGGTTTCCCGTAATGTATGATTCTGACTCGGACTTTGGCATGAGCCCGGGAGGTGAAGGACGGGGGGATGCATTGTCCTCGTTATGTTTATCGATTCGATATCTTGGTTCTTGATATTTATTGGTATTCTAACGTTGCTGAATATATTTGGTTGTTGATCCTGTCTTCTTGTTGTATTGAGCATCAATGGTATGGTATATTATGGTGATTTGCATATGGAATCCTATGATCTTAGCATCCGATACGTAATTGTTCACTCGGTTTCTTGTAAGTCTCGGTTTGCATTTAGATGATGTCTAAAACTCTTTTATTGATAAGAGTTTATTATGTATGTTTATAAACATGTGCGATATTGATATGTAATACTTAACTATTTAACTCACTAAGCATTGGCTTACCATTTAAGTGGCAACCTCTCTCAGGAAAGAAGACGGATAAAAAGAAAGAACCCGTTGTTTGACTTGAAGATTTATAGGGGAACTTGAAGATTTCGATCTTTCTTTTGGGTAAATAGTAGCTTATTACCGTATCTCATAGTTGTAGTATGTGTAGCTTATATATAGTCTTGTCCCGTATTCTTTTGCTACATAATTCGGGTTGTAAATAAAAACTCCGTTATATCCGGTTTGGAATTATGTTTTGGGTGGTTTTATCACAAAAATAGAACGGATATTTCAAAGTTTTTTTTAGAAAATTAATATCCCATATTTTGAGGTTAATTAATGTTATGCCCAGATTTGTGTGTTTCAAATGGTTGGTCCATTTTCATCGCCTCTGGACCAATTCATCGCCTCTGGTCCATTTTCAT